AGACCCATTGTGCCACCAGATCTTATTCTTCACAGGAGTTCCAGACAGAAGTCTAGTTTCCTTTCAGAACACTTGAGAATCCTGACGTCCAGTATGTTTTCAGCCTAGTGTGATTTTTTTTTTTTTTTTAGGGCAAAAAACAAAATAACTGCTGCCAATCCTAGCTTTAAGGCATATTTGTAGTCTGATTAAATTATTTGTCTTAACTGGCTTTATAAATAAAGACTTCACAAACTGCGTCATCTGAATATTAATAGAAATGTTTGCACTGTTTTCTGAAAAGCATCGGTCCCACCACAGAGCCCTGTGGAACTCCATACTTACTTCTGTGAGCACTAATGTCCTCACCACTATGAACAAGCTGAAAGCCAAACAGATTTTTTTTCTTTTTTTAAAAGAAATCTGGGGTTTATTATATTTTTTATATGACAATCTTATTTTCACATAGTAAGAATGAGAACCTTTTACTGGGTAATTCATGATGCAGCAGTAGGCAGAAATACAAATCAATAGAAAATTGACAAGCCCTTTGATTAAACAGGCACCTTTCACAGCAGACGTTATGACTTATCATAGCAATGAAAAAGAAGCCCTTTAAAGTCCTTTTAATGGCCTTAACAAAGGCGCAGCTCTACCCATTCAGGTGTCCTAGAAAGTCATGACAGTGTGACAGGGAGCCTGCACAATACAGCACTAGAAACCGAAGCAGCTAAATGGAACCGAGCCATCATTCATTTTATTATTTACACCTGTTCCTTACCTACTGACATGTCACAATGTCTACATTTTCTTTTTTCTGTAACACTGCTCCTTCAATATGGCAGCAAGCGACAAAAGCCTTCCACAGTTAAGTCGTTTATTTTAAGTCTCGTCGCGTTTTTACAGATTACAGCTGCTCACTTTTTTTTTTTTTTTTTTTAAAGTAGCTCAAATCATCATTAATTTGACAGCAAAATATAATTGTCCGACTCATAGAAGTGTTTTCACAAATCCCCACTAGTGCAACTTTACATTTACACCAATGACATGCCAAGTCTATCTCTGCACTCACAACTGAACAAAGATTCGGTTAGTGTCGGGATCATTTTTGGGTTTGCGCCTCTTCACTGGCGGTTCTTTAAGCCGCCCGCAGATGCAAAGCAAACAAACGACAATCTTTGTCAACCCAAGTTGTTTTTTAACTTCTCGTTTTATCCCATTGAACAAAATCTCCTTCGGTACTTGTTCAAAGGCAGCACTGCTTAAACCGGTACCTTCTTTTCCTGACACTTCTGTCCATAGTTACTCGTGTCTTAGCGCTGAAGTGACATCGAACTCACAACCAAACTGTTGTGTTGCTGGAGTGGATAGTGACGCCATAATGTGACTTTATTAATATTACTTTTATTATTTGAAGGATACTACCTGTTTTGCGGTGGAATACATGTCAGTTGATATACTCTATTAATTCTAATTGATGCTGGGTGCATGTGTGTGTGTTTGTGTGTGTGTGTGTGTGTAGCAGCGTTCTCAGCATATGCACTTAAGCCTCCTCAAGGCGTGTTGGATAAAAGCCTTCGCCGAAATGCATATGAGAGTGTGTCAGGAAGTGGGGAGGCAGGCAAGTGTGTATTTGGACAGGATGTGTACCATTATCCGTCATTATAAGACGTGCAAATCATCACCACCATCATTATCAGCAGCAGCAGCAGCAGCAGCACAAACTCATCCTCCGGTTCAACACAATATATACTGTAGTAAGGAGCTTATCTGGAGGAGAATCTGATGTATGATCAACTGACAGCCACATCACAGGAAAGTAACACATTCATCACCACTATTGGCATTTGCTGAAGACTCTTGGAGGGAAAACTAAAAAAAAAAAACCAAGACTGTTTCTTTAAACTGTTGTTTACTTCCAGCAAAAATTTAGAATTCTACTCATGTAAATACCGCGGATGATTAGAACGGTGACAGCAATCTTCCAGGGGGGTTACAGTAATAAAAGATATTTCTCATTTGGTCTTATTTGTGAGTGTTTAATTAAGCCAGACTTAATTAGCCTATTATCATAATCAAATTCATTTTAAAAAACTTTGATCTCCAAATTAAGCTCCTCTGACAGGCTGCTTTGCGGAAAGTCAAATGTGAAATTATCACAGATCCTTTTTTTTTTTTTTTTTAATATCCTACCTGTCACTATATAAAACATTTCTTGTGATGTCTGCAATATATCATCTTTTCATTTAGATGCCATCCACTGATGCTCCTTTCCAGGCTGCACACGGCAGTCATGGCTCCACGCTGATGTCTGCCTGTTATGAGCCATAATATCAATACTGCTGCTGCCCATGAGTGTGTGGAATCGGCTTGGAGCTATTTTAAGGGTTCAGACTTGGACAGGCGGCAGGGGAAATATATGGCGGCACAGTCGGCTGATTTACAAAGGGGGAGGCGAGGCGCTGTGCCGCTTCTTTTATCGTTTTGGGCACCGAGGACAGAAAACAAGTTTACAGCTCAGTGGCCTATAAAAGAAACGACTGCGTTTTTTTTATTCAAAGTAACACTTGATTAAACAACTGGCATGCCAAATAAGCCCATAAAAGCAGATTCATAATGTCCCGCTGCGATTAAGAGATTTTTTTTGTGTGTGTGTGAATTAAAGTTAATGCTCAACCCGAGCTGAATAATCAACCACGAGTCGACCAGAGGGATTTTTACGCACCGATTTCGACTTAACAGTGATCGTTGCGCACGTCGTTTTTGTGTCTTTCTTTTTATTTATCCCGGCGACAGTCTTCACTACCACCTCCTGCTCTGCGACTCGTTAAAAATGATCCTTAATGTTGCTGTTTCCACTTTGTGTCGGATCGAAATCATCGACCCTTTCTCTCTCGCTCGCCTCTGCCAGGTGACAGGATCGGCGCTGCACGCTCTGCTGCACGCTCCAACAAAACTAAATGCACATCAAGCAACACCGGAAAAAAAAAAAAACCCTCTCCATCCTCTCTCTCATATCGGCTTTGCAGTCCTCTGCAGCCTTCCACGGCGCAGAACCTCCGGGCACGGCTGGCTGCAGGATACGGTCACAGCAAGGAGGCGTCTGGTGCGAGACCCTCTCCTCTAAACTTTGATGCTGCTCAGCTAGTCGTGTTGGTCTGATGGACTCACATGACCCTAACTTGGACAATAGGTGCGCATCTACATAAAGCATATTATGAAACCGAGCCAGTGGCAACTTAATGAAATGACTCTCACCGGAGCAGTTCCAGCCGGTCGGCGTCTGGCAGTCGCTGAGGGAGGAAGGGAAGGCGCGCAGCTGCTCCACAGGTAAAGTGGCGAGAAACGAGACGAGGGTGATCCGGAGCCAGCCTCCCGCTGTCCCGCTCCACTGGCGCAGCCGTCGGGGCTCCTCGAGCTGTGCCTGCGCCACCACGGACAGACCCATGTCTCACTGGCCCCGACCGCACAGGCGAGGTGGGAAAGAGACGCAGACGCGCACCGACAACTCCAATCCCGACAGGTTCAGCGGGGCGCCTAGTGACCAACAGCGGACCATTTTCCGAGCGAGACCGTGCGCCCCATGTAGCAGTGCCCCGGTGTAGACTGACCAAATGGGTTCCGCCCGATCCAAGGAGGGAGGCTACTGCAATAATAGTAATAATAATAATAATAATAAAAGGAGGAGGAGGGTAGGGGGACTGCCGAGGGGTTTGGTGAGCGATGGAGGAGGGTTATGTGGGATGAAAAAAGTTAGCGAGGCAAGCCAGAAGACTTGCGAGCAGGAGAGGATGCTCAAGGATGAGGAGAGGGGGAGAAAAGATGGAAAAGGGGAAAAAAAAAAAAAAGAAAGAAAAAAAAAAAGGAGGTGATACAACAGTAAAGCTGAGAGGATGCAGCCAGAGTATCCCACAGGCAGGGTTTGGAGACGACGGCAGTTGTGTAATAGTATCCACGGGTGAAACGAGCAGCGGTCCTCCCGTTTACTTTGTATGTGCGGTGCGTTCAGAGTCGCAGCGAGTTGCTGTTTGTCTCTCTCTCTCTGTGGCTCTCTCACCAGCAGCTGGTTATGATCACGTGGAGTATGATGCGAGGAGGAAGGGGGCGCCCCTCAGTAACAATTAGAATATCTTACTGGTGGAGTAGGCAAAGGAGCAGAATACATGATAGGAGAGAGAGAGAGAGAGAGGAAGAAAAAAAACACTAGAAAAAAAAAAAATCCAGAGAGTAAAAAGAGAAACAGAGAGCTCCAGGCTTAGTCCCATCAGCTGGTGATGACTACCCCATGGATAGGCAGTATAAAAAGGAGGATACACTGCCTTTATAATTGGCCAGGAGCATTTAAAAAGTCTGCAGGAATCGATTCGTCCAGCCTGGTCAGGGATAATTGCTCCACTTTGAAACGACACTGACGCTATTCCTAGGTCTCTGCCTCCGGGCAATCCAAAGAAACCTCAATATTATTTTGGATATAAGCTACTGCTGTCAGGCGGGGCAGGATGCGGCCAGTAATTGACATGCTTTTGGCCATGAAAGCCCTAGAAAGTGTTCAGCATCAGCGGGAGTTAAAGAGGTCAAGTCCAGAATCAGGTTGAGAACACTCACCCTCTTTGAACCGAGGAAATTGAAAGCCATGCGCCGAGGAAAAAAAAGAAGCTCTACAAAGCAAACAAAGGGGTTGTTGTAGAGGCCCGTCACAGGCATGAAGACACTTGACCTCATGATATTAGGGACGAAAAGCTGCGGATGTGTGTAAACAAATAAGCCTTTTATTGCTGCTCTCTGTAAGATCATTACTTGGGTTTGTGTTTTTTTTTTTTCCCTCTCAGCTAATGCGGTTCATGACACATCTGCAACGAGTCACATTCAAACAGTTAGAGGTCTTCTGGGTCATCATAAGGAGTGAGGAATACTTCACATAACTTCACAAACACACACACACACAAAGGGCAAATATTCTCATAGCAGGACAAATCACCAAGAATGTCCTACTTAATCTGCACATGAGCAGAGTCGTATATTAGCTTTAAACATCTTGTGACACTTGCCGCTAAACGAGTCACTCAACGTTGGCGTTCTGGAGAGGTTCTAAGCCCGCTTTAAATACATTGTTTGGGCTTTACTGTGCATATATGTACAATATGAAGTAGTTATTTCAACCTAAAGACGTTCTGATGAACCCTCATGCCCAGCGCCCAAGCAGCTGACGGACAAGAGGTGTGAACAAATGTCATCAAGCATCTATTATCTACTGTCTGCCGGATTTTTAAACTTGCAGACTTTGTTTTGGCCACTTAGGGGCAGCTGAATCAAGCTGTGAGCGCAACCCTGATATATTATCTTTTAGAGATTTAAAACTCGTTAGCGAACACCGACTAAGCCAGCAATTACAAAGCAACACTGGCATTCAGTTGGACTCATGTTTCTGAATAACTCCAGCGGGACTTGGCTGGCATTTTAGCAGCGTAATGCTTTAACGTGTTCACCGTGTCGTTGCCAATTGTGTCAGGTCAAAAACTGATCAATGCATATTAAAATGTTGGGTGTTTTTATACCAGTTGATCAGATTTGCTGGCTTGTGAGTGCAGCATGCACTTGGAATTAGATAAAGGTTCATTACAGGTTGTGGTTTGACAAAGAAAATCACTCATAAATGCAGTTTTCTTTACACATAAGCAGCTTCTAAACAAATGTTGCATCACTGAAATTTATAGATGTTTAGTCTTTGCAAAGCTCCAGCAACCACAGCTGAATTAATGATATCATACCAGCCTAAGACTATGACAAGGGAGAGGGGAAGAGAAGGCTAACTAGTAGGGTGGTGGCGAGCAACCCAAGGCTGCCTTTCTACTGGACTAATTTGGACTTCAAAGCAAGCCTTCTCTCTCTGGGCTTCCAGCTGTCTTTATTTGTCCACTGAAGCGTTTGGGTATACTGTACTCTACTTTCAAGGCAATATTGTGTATAGTATAGGGTGTGAACGGGAGTACAATAAGAAAAAAAAAAAAAATAGGAGTAAAATAGGACAGTTTTAGAGGAGTCTGTGAGTCACTTTCGTCTAATTTTCCAGAAGCAATAGTGAATCCTTTTCTCAGTGGCAAAGCTGCAGACAGGAGGATTTAGACCTTGGTTGATCAGTGACACCTGTTACCGCTGTTGTCAGTCTCACTTCCACTATATCCATCTATGCTTGACATACAGAGAAAAAACAACAACAACAACAACGCAGCATCCTTTCTGCTTTTTGAGCAATCTTCCACAAGAGCACACTGACCATATAGAACAGGTTTTTCTAATGGGAGGCTTCAACCGTTTAGTCTGATGTAGCACACAGCGGAAGAAAGAACACGTCAGCTGAAGGTTGTGAAAACAAGACTAGCCTGGTTCAGTAGGACTGGGTAAAGGTATGACATGGGTCATAATGAGGTCATAATGGTTTTTTTTAGCATTTGGTTAATTACCAAGGAAAGACTGACCTCCCGTTAAAAAAGGAACCCATAGATTGTTTTAGAAAGCAGCTTTCATCGTCACGTTTTTGTTGTTGTTGTTTTTTTTTTTTTGTTTGCTGCCTCTGTTTATTGTAGAAATGATGATAGGAGCAAATTAGCAAGAGGTGTTATTATGGAGTTCCACAGTTGATATAGAGAGGAGGTCGGGGTGGATGGATGAGTTGGCAAAACACTGGACTTTAACTGCAATTTGTTTTGTGTTTCAAACATCTCAAATAGTTGGCATCGTTTTTATAAACCATGAACATCCATTAATCCTAATAAGATTGTTATTATTCTTCTGAACTTAGCAAAGTACGTATTTTTTTTTAACCAAATACTGTATCCTTTACTAAAGCTAACCATGTTGGTTTTGCACCTAAACCTTACCAAACCTTTACTAGAGCAATACCTCCAACTGCCAGTGCAGTCCTCTGACCTCCGGTATACTCAATATAAAGGGTTGTATCAAAAAGAAGCAAAAAAACAAAACTGTAATTACCGTAAATTCCAGATGATTGCGCACCTGAATATAAGCCGCACCCACTCACAACTTTTGTACACATATAGTCCACACTTGTCTATAAGCCACAGGTGTCTACGTTGTAACATGAGATATTTACAAAGAAAGATGTTTTTAACTTTTAATTAAATACGTACCATACATACTTTTTTTTCAGAACAGTGCCTGTAACACGGCTGGTTAAAAAAATAAAGATACAGTCCCTACCATAAATTAGCCGCATCATTGTTTAAGCTGCAGTCCTCATTTGACCACTTGAGGCTTTCTCTCAAAGTGAGTCAATCCCCATAAACCTCAATCTTTAAATGCCCAACTTTACACCAGAAATAGAGCATGTTTACCACCTGGCACAAACATGAATTTTGTCTCTATAGCTGATTTCTTCGTTCATAACAACTGTACGAGGGGTGAATTTCAAATACCCCATCCACTTGAGGTTCGTCCGTCTTTTTGTGATACAGACAAATCACATTCAGTTATTTCTATTAATTACTCCATCTCTATTCACCATTAAATGTACTGAAAGTTGTTTTGCTTGCATACACTTAGAGGGCTGTCACCACCACATTGTGATTCATAAAAGGGAGGGAGTGAGTTCCACTTTTCAAGGTTTTATTTAACTGGCTGGGGATGTAAACAAAGCAGCCAAGCAGTTTAGCACTTACATATTCAGATAGGCTTTAAGCAGGAGTCAAAAAGCCACGAGGAGTCTTTGAAGAGTCTCCAGTCTGACTCAAAGGCTTCTGACCACTGTGACAGCGTCTGGCCTTGTTGACTTGTACCAGACATCCCTGAAGTAATGCCACACACACAAAAACTCACTTCAAGCTTATAGAAAGGTTAGCAAGCAAAACAAATCTTCATGTACAG